TGTGTGTGTGTGTGTGTGTGTGTGTGTGTAACAAATCTGCACAGGTACTCCCTGAACCTAAAAAAAATTATGTATTATAGTACCTAATTTTTATTGTGTGCTAAATACACCACAAGTTATGCCATTTAATTTACATATATTTTATCATTATACTTTGTAATAATCATAGGTAATAAGTATTATTATCTCTTTTATACATGTAGAAACTAAAGTTTATGAAAACAAAATCATGTACCCAAAGTCATGATTAATAAGGGGTAAAGTTGAACCCAACTTTTTTTTTTTTACTTTAAATCCTGTGCTTTTATTTATTTTTATTTTTTATTTTTGACACAAGTTCTCACTGTGTCTCCCAGGCTGAAGTGCAGTGGTGTGATCTTGGTTCACTGCAACCTCTGCCTCCTGGGTTCAAGTGATTCTGGTGTCTCAGCCTCCCAAGTAGCTGGGACTACAGGCATGTGGCACCACGCTCAGCTAACTTTCTGTATTTTTAGTAGAGATGAGGTCTCACCATGTTGGTTAGGCTGGTCTCAAACCCCTGACCTCAAGTGATCTGCCCGCCTCAGCCTCCCAAAAGTGCTGGAAAATGATATTGATGGACCCAAGTGATACAGTTTGTGCCAGCATATTGAGAGATTGGATCCTTCTAAATTCTTCGTTCGGCTCATGACCAGTTGCCATATACTGCAGAATGTCAACTGCCTACAAGGTAAATTTCACATTGGTCGACTCACCCTTCCTATCACTCCTGATAATGCACTCATGGTTTATGGGTTGTTTTAGTAGTATGTGGTGAACTATAAGCTGTTACAATGGGAGAAGTTTTTTTTTTAAACCTCTTAAAAGTTGATGTATATATATATACTTACCACTAAGCATAACTTTTGAATTAGGCATGTGGCAATTCCTTTCTTGATGTTTTTAGGGAAAATGAGCCAAATAATATTTAAAAAAATGTATAAGCCAGGCTAGTTTCTATCCTTTCCTCTATTAAACTCAGGATCACACAAGTAGGCACAAGTGTGCACAAATATTTACACCTTGCATTGTTCTGAGAATTAGTAAAAGAATATCTTGAAAGCATGATATAACTTTGTGTCCAATAATATAACATACAAAGTTGTTGAATTAAAAAAAAATTAATAATAATGCCGCGGGGCATGGTAGCTCACGCCTGTAATTCCCGCATTTTGAGAGGCCGAGGCGTGCTTATTGCTTGAACCCAGGAGTTTGAGATCATCGTGGGCAACATGGCAAAACCCTGTCTCTACAGAAAGTGTAAAAAATAGCCAGGAGGGATGGTGTGCAAGTGTCTCAGCTGAGGCTGAGGTGGGAGGATTGCTTGAGCCCTGGAGGTTGAAGCTGCAGTGAGCAGTGATCACGCCACTGCACTCCAGCCTGGGCAACAGAGTGAGACCCTGTCTCAAAATAACTATTATTTGACATATCAAATTTGGGCATAGTGACTAGAAACAAAATTTCACTGAGTTGAGACAGCTAGATCACAAAATTATTAGATTACAAAATATTAGGTTAGAAGTACTACTGCAGATGTTTAAACAAGAAAAACATACAAGTGGCTAGAGGTCAGGAAAGGCTTGTTTCTAAAAGATAGAACTTGTACTGGGCCTTTAAAGATGAACAGTGTTGACCGGGCATGGTGGCTCACACCTGTAATCCCAGCACTTTGAGAGGCTGAGGCGGGCGGATCACGAGGTCAGAAGATCGAGACCATCTTGGCTAACACGGTGAAACACTGTCTCCACTAAAAATACAAAAAATTAGCCGGGCGTGGTGGCGGCCCCTGTAGTCCCAGCTACTCGAGAGGCTGAGGCAGGAGAATGGCGTGAACCCGGGAGGTGGAGCTTGCAGTGAGCCGAGATCGCACTACTGCACACCAGCCTGGGCAAAGAGTGAGACTCCGTCGCAAAGGGAGATAAACAGTGTTTACAAAGTTGGAGCAGAAGGGAAACTAGTGAAAATAAAAGCTTAAGATACATATGGAGAATGAGGACAGGGAAGACACTGGACTGACTGCTCAGAGCAAAGTAGGCGTGTTGAGCTAAGTACTGATAGGAGCTAGATTAGCCAGGGTATGGAGAGCCTGGCAGAGTAGCTGAAATTTGATAAGGTAGAGATTAGCAAATCACTGTAGGTTCTTGAATGGGGAAAGCTATAGAAAAGTGTTGTTTTTTTTTTTTTTTTTTTTTTTTTTTTTTGAGTCTTTTAAAGGCAGATCAATGTGACAGTGGGATAATATAGATAAATTTTAGAGAAGGACTGGGATCCAAGGGAGGCTAGTTAGGATGCTTTTGCAATATTCCAGATAGGAATTCCCAATAACCCAAACCACAATTATAAAAGTTACATAGAACTGGAGGAGAA